AAGGAAATTAATTAAGGAAAGAGAGAGGTTCTTGGTTGATGCAGCTGTGGAAGAGAAGTATCACTTCTACTGTTTTTTTAGATGTAAATTCTTACTTACTGTAGTTACAGCATAATCTGTTCTTTAGATTAATCACTCAACGACAGCGGGATGTAAACTAGCTAATCTTAACTCATGTTGAGTTCAAATAACACGACGTGGTGAAGCACCTGTTATGGGTTCTGAAGTTTTCTAAAGACAACCACATCGAAAACAAATAACAACTTACATTTGGTTATTCTGTGTTTGTAATATTTAACATTCTCCGAAACTACGTCCTCTATGTCCTGCGAATGTAGTTTCGGTCGTATCTACACTTTGTCGTTTACAAGATATTTGACAGTAGTTTCATTTGGTAATTTGGAAATTGGAATTATTAATGTTATAATATAAATGAAGTTATTAAAAAGGCGATTTTTGATGGCCGAAACTTCAGTTTATCGGAATGCGCTTTGTGGGTCAATCGAAAGAAGAGTTTAGAAAGAAAAAAATAAGCCGTGGATCCATGCCGAACATCTTAATAGAAACTTTCGTATTAAATACGTTTAAATTAACGATAAGAAAAGACTCAGATAATAGTTAGTCTCTATAATGTTAAAGAATTCAAATGCCATTTAGCCCGATTTTGTTCCGATATATACATCCCAAGGATGTAAAAACATTCTTATAGGCGCTTCGTTATAGTAGTTTCTAGCGGAACATTTTTGCTACACGAAGGGAAAAATCAAACCAACGAAAAACATAATCTGCTGCTTTTTAGGCGACTAAAAATATATACTATGTTTTCGAATTGTGACACAGTTTGTTTACTGCCTTCCCACCTTCCGGATCCCGCGAGTCTAGTTAAGATCGCGCCTGCATCTGGTCCTTTCCATTCGATCTGGAGAGTTTCAGCCAAAAAGAATCTTTGTAGCTATCGAGAAATTTGCTAAAACAATATATACGGGCTTGTTAGGGTGCACGGCGAAACCCAGACGCTTCTAAGATACGTTTCGCACCGTGGCTAACGATACCTGTGGGCCCGGAAGCGGCGTGACCCATAAACACCTGCTGCTCATTTGATCAACTGCAATTCCGAGAAACAACAAATATTGTTTATTGCTTTCGGACGGAACCCCTATGCGCTGGCTAAAAGCTGGCACTTTCACCTAGCAGTGACTTCTGCTGTTTGGAACTGGAGTCGATCGGAAACATCATCGCAGATGGAGATATCTTCACGTATCGACGAGTGTCTATGCCTAGAAACGACATATTGAAATGTTTCTGTGCAGAAAGTTTTTTCTAATAGACTGGAAAAGCGTTCTTGAGAGATTAAGGTAATGTTCCTACACTCCGCCTTGATAAACACTACGATCTGCGTGCCCGTGCGATAAATATTTAAGTATCAAAAAAATGATTTATTTATCCACCGAAGTCTTTCGCATGTAATTTCTTCTAGATCGTGCCATCGTCAGCCCGCTGAACTCTGAACTGAACTGGAACATTAACGGGCAAAATAGATCGAACTTTATAGTCATCGGGTCAGACCATGAGAGTGTGTGCAGCACGTAGTTTCATCCCAAAGCAATGGATCTAGTGAAAACGACTGAACTACCCGAAGCGATTATCGCCAAATCTAAAAAAACAAGCAGATTTGGCTGACAACCTAATCGTTTTAGGTTGGCCGCTTCGCGTTCATCTTCGCCAAAGTAACGAGCCCAGCTTCAATACCACTTATAGATATCGATCCTTTGTAACTAATCAACCGTGGCTAAAGTAGAGAAGCAATTAAAGTAAATATTGAGACTGGCGCGGTGGAAGGACGAGTAGAGCGGACTCGACTCTGGATCGAGAGTCCTGAAGTTCAGTTGTCAACTGTCGACAGGCTGTCAAATGGTTGTTTAAAAAAAAATCATTATAAACCTCCAGGCAACTTTCGGGATCGTGAACGTGACTCGTAATAGTTTGTTAGAAGACGTCATAAGCAATCGTTACACACATTACAGAAAGATAGTAATCTCACAGCGAAACAACTTATTTCTATATGAAACCCATTGACAAGTTAACTTATTATCCAGACCGAGTCCTGGTACAAGCTCACGCTAGGTGTTTCTCGCAGCTGTCACTTAACAATAAAGTTACGTCTAATTATTCTACAACGGCTCGTAGGATGATCGAAACTAAAAAACTTGAAGCGAGCAATTTTCTTAGGACCAGCTAGCATTTTCTAAATACAATAGGTTTTTTTCTTGCGCGTCTCATGTTGGCTTTGAACAATGATTATTCCTAGACAGACTAATTAACACTTTTCGTACACGAAAGCAGATATAATGTGATTTTTAGAAAATAATCTTTACTTTATTCAACATACCATTCTATGTTTTGACCCTTTAGGTCCGCGACCGCTGTTAGACGTTTTGTCAGACGGCTGGCACAAAACGAAACGCTTCTATGCCCGGATTCAAACCTAGGCCACAACAAGCCCCTAAAATACGTTCGCCTGACTCCAATGAAACTGAAGTCTGGCATATATTTAGGCGTAATCTGATGAAAAGCCAAAGACCGCATAGGCTAGGTCGGTACCACCGCAAGGTCTTAAACTCTCGATTAAATAACTACTAAGTCTATTTACATGCCCAATCCGTACTCTGCAGTGAACTTTTACCTATCCCACTGTTTATGAGAGCATTTAATATTGAATTCAAAATCTGAACGGGCAAACACTGTCCCACATTGCAGGAAGATCAGGATCACGTGAACGCTTATTCAGACGCGTTAGGCATATTGGAGTATCGAAAGTAACGGCAATCGGAAGCACTCTTTGCATATTTCTAAGAAAAAGTAGATTGGAACAGTTATCTAGTAGTTTGATTTCTCTGATTCACTCATGAAGGAATCGCTAATGGCGTTACGAACGCAAGTATTGCATTCATACTGACCTAGAGAATGACAATGCTTAGCATCTACAAGGTTACATCGCCAGCCACACTAATCACAAGATGTTCAGCTGCAACATCTTTGTCGTTGCTCTGTTGGCGCGCTTATTTGAACTGTTCAAAAAGCCTATTTCAAACACAGCCAATAACACATCGTGCACACCAGGTGTGGAAAAATAACCAAATATTTGTCAGCTGACTGGATTATCAGTTAAGATATGCTGACGCCATGCTGCCCGATGGGCTTTTTTTGGCAATAGATATATAAAAGAATATGCATTTTCAACAATACGCGCTTTCTCTCGCCCATGTAATTAGCGAGGAGGTGAACTGTGTGATGTTTTATGGAAACGCGTTGATGATATATATACATATATATATATACGACAATTTAGTTTTAAAACCCTTGAATCAAGTCCTAACGCGTTGAACGTATTAAGATTTCAGAAATATAATATAATCATATATTCTTTGTTTATACTTTAACCCTAATCATGCTCTTGTGAACGATAATAAAATACTATAAGGCTAAAAAGCATACTTTGAACACGAAATCCCACTTATGCATGCAGTTTGACAATGGGAAATAATATCTGCTGGTTGATATCTGTTTTTTCGTACAGACCAGTCTCCTTGCAAGTGGGGTGCACTACGGGCTTCTCAAAGCTCATGTAAGTACGCGTTTCCCCGCAAGCAAACATTACGCCCTCAATACCCTGAGCTTGATTACACTAAACTGGACCATAAGGCATTTTGTATCAAACGGCGACTCTATTCTGCTAGCTATAGTTAATTGTTCCAGCGATAGCCTACTGGATAACGTATTTGCGTCTTGTGGTCTAGGTTCGAGCCCGAACATGGACAGACTTTTTCCTGGTGGGAGCCAGCCGTGTTATCGAATACGTAATGGCGATACCGGCCATGGACCTCGAAACGTAGAGATATGTAGGTGCGTTTATTTTTGGAAAATCCATATTTTTTTGCAAGAAAGTTAGCCACCTTTTTGGCGGTATGAAAAATGAGTGATGAGCAAAAATCATTGCATTGACCATATGTGATGTGGTATTATCAGTTTTTCTCTCTACGAGTATAGAATTATTCGGCATGATGATTGGCCCCATAGGCGCCCTGATGGTATAAAAAGAATATGTTGTTTTCAGGTTGAAACTACACGTTACAATGTAAGTTTCTGAGTAGATCTATTTAGAAGCTAACTCAAAGATTACAAATGTGATCTTTGACCCATTACTACTACCGATCTCTAATCAAATTATTTGGAAAAAAAACATATATGTACATATGCATAGATTTATATTTGTAATTTGCTAGCAATGCATTGTTTATACTGTAATTGATTTAATTTGCCAGTATAGAATAAAGCTATAGATAATTATATGCTGTAGCGAAAAACTTCAACTTCGACAAACCCTGGAAAGTTTCTCATACGTACCGTGTGTAACTGGTCTTGAAGAAGAACCCGTTATATTTCTACGGGGACAATATTTGAACTACCAAATATTTACTTATGGTCGGATTTTACTTTACTTTTAGAGAAGGGATAATTACTGTATGAGAATGATACAAAGAGACCTTCATCCGGTGTAAGACCTTACCGTTTTTCCCATTGGAAATACCCTTTGGATTCTAGTCCTAAAGTGTCTTGTTCCTCCTCTGATGTAGGCTTGTATAGCAATTACAGCCTACAGTAACTCCTCAATGCTTGCTGAGCCAAATTCACAATTGTGCCTGTAAACACTCAGCCTTTCAGTGACAATCGTAAGTCAGCTCTATCGATCTAATTGTTGATAACAATCGACACCTATCAAGGCCCTAAAGAAATTCAGCGGAAGGGTTATTAAGAGAAGTACTTCTATTATGATGGTTTTCCAAAGTCCCATTTTTTTAGCCATTCTTTCTAGAACAAGAATACACACATTTTTCAATAGGTTAGATTTCGTTGTTGTACTTTATTCATATTTACTATAATAATAATAATAATAATAATAATAATAATAATAATTAATATCATTATAATTATTACAAATAATATATTGTTATCTCCCGCTTTGTTTTCTTTCTGTCTCTCTTTCACTCTCTCTCTCTCTCTCGCTCTCTCTCGCTCTCGGCCTAATTCTTGTTTTCCTAAGAATCCCAACCATCCGCTACTCTACAGTCACTCGCAGTTACACATGATGACGCGAATGTGGCTTGTATTTATTTAATGGAACTTGAGAACTATTTAATTTTTATTTTCGAAAAATTGTCTTTCTTGGCAGTTGACGAACCAACAAACGCTGAGGTGTTATATATACAGAGAAGTCTTCCGCAACGCCTGTCTCGATGAGGAGATGAAAAATGTCGGACACCGTTGCTAGGGCCATGGTCCTATTTTAGAACGCACGACCCCAAAAATGAAGAGCTGACATAAATTATAAAAGATAGTTTAGAAAAAGAACAATATCAACTACCATCACGTTGACTCATTCATTCGTACGACAAACTTCACTTCTATCTTCTCTCCCGCCCCCTGTAGATTTTGCTGTTCGGTTGATCTTTAAGCGCTTAAAAGCTTTCCCGTATTCACAACGAATTCGCTTACGTGTTGCGTACGTAATTGCTGATTCAGTTTCCTTCTGTTCACAGTATTACACTCATTTTCATAACCCATATGTGTTAATATTGCGTGTCACTATTGTTGGCACCATCAAGCTCATACTGGCACCGTGTTTTATTATTACCTGATTAATTTCGTATAAGTTTCCTCTTTTCATTCCGTATTTTTCATACGTAAAAACGTACGTAATAATTTTCATATGTAATAATAATACGGGCTATGCCTAGCTGCTTCCCCGTCGTGTACACACATATTCAAAAACACATGTTGTTCTTCGGTTTCCGATGATTTATGTCCATATTTCAATTAAAATCGGTTTTCATCAGTGGCTGTACTTGTATTCGCCTGCTGTAGGTAAACCAGTGTTTAAGCGTCTGGGTAAATATAGGATGGGATGCGCTGCTTTAGCTGGACAACGCCTTCCTTGAGAAGATCGATCCAACTCGGCTGCCGACACTGCGAATGCTGTGTCCCCAACCACCGATCCATGAACTCTGAGCAGAGGAAGAGGCTGCCTGTAGGGGGTCCTGTGGACTTGTTATAATGGTTTGCCCCGTAGGGTTAGCATAATGCAGGAACGGGTTCGATGGCGACGCGAACAGAGAGCTTTGATGATTGGACGGCACAAATGCTTGCGTATAGGGAACGGGTAGTCGGTGGTGTGAACGGCCCGGTTTCCCAGAAGTGTAATAGTCAGTAGGAATGTACTTTTTCGGTGAACCATTGGACTCGTGTGCCGCCTGATCAATCAGACCGCCGATTGGAGGCAATTGAAATCCTCCATTTTTGACGTTCTGCTGACAAGAAATGCGTATTGAGGTCCTTATGAAGCATTGGTTGACAAATTTTTTAGGCATTAAATGGTTTATCATCTAGGAAGTACGTAGGTGAACTCGATAAGTTAAAATGTTTAACTATCGCGCACCGTTTTACAGTAGGAGTTAAGCTATAAGTTTTAGATGCCTCAAATATCCGTTTGAATCAGAACAAGTGGAAATATCGAAGTTTAACTTTATGTACGTGTACTTACGCTTTCATGGAGTGGCACGAGTACTTCAGATACTTTGCCGTCAGGCCCTTTGATACGGACGTTTACTGCAGGTCGTGGAGGAAGCTGACTAATCGGGATGTGGACATTTAACGGTTCGTTAAGATTTACCTGCGTAGGCGGCAGCTCGCTGTACGTTGTCTTAAGCCCACCTGAAATCGCCACTGTATCGGTCAGAATGAACGCCATCTACCGGGGCCAGTTAGTATGAATTAGATTGGCTAATGTCGATTCGCTTAGACACCGTGTTTAATTCCAGTACAGGGTCGACTAATAATCGGCTGCAATTAAGATCTCAAATAGTGACTGTCTTTAATTTAAGATCTCCTTCGAACTAGCTTAAACAAAGGAGAACCAGTTTTTATCTGAACACGATATTAGTCTATGTGACGTTCAGGCTAGGTAATTTTCCTCACGATACTTTCGGCCATCGAAAGATGATCTTGGATATTAAAAAAATTCCGTGTCTTGAAAGCCTTAAACCTCACGTGTCTGAATAAATAATCTCATCGTCGTACAGCTCACTATGTATAATGACTTTACTACAACCCGGGTTTCGGGCTACACCTGGGCAACAATTGAGCGAATGTCTTCATGTGGCTGAGCAAAGTCAAAATATGGACCTGAACACGTATGACGCGACTATAATGCATTGGTTATACTTTAATCTACAAGCCTAGTTCATGTAAATAACTTACCGTCATGTGACAAAACTACACCGGAGAGAGAAACCTGAGTTTTCTCATCAACTTGAATTTTCGAGGGAGCCGGAAACCCGTGTGGGATGCCCTTGGTGAATGGAGTTTTGGACACATCAACCGCCACTGGACTCCCGTAGACTTCTGGTGAAGCGTGGTAAGCAGCGGTGTTTGGTCGAACGTAAGGCCGATTCGACGCTTCGTCTAATACTACCACACCCTTACCATTCGAGAGGTGTCCGACTACAGGCGCGGGACTCTGTCCAAGGCTATCAGTAGGTTTCTGTACACCTGGCGCGACGCTCTTCACGCCCAGGGCCTTCAGCATCTCCGCAGGCAACTCAATTTGCTCACTGGGATTGACATTCTGTGGCATCTGCACAAGAAGTGCCTGGGGTTGTTGGTGGCTCTGCTGCTGCTGTTGCTGTTGCCGCTGCTGGCTGACCTGCTGGGAAAACGTTTGAATAAGCTGCTGGCCAATTTGTTGCTGCGGCTGTGCATGGTGGTTAGCGTGAGGATGTGTTGGCTGCTGCGGGAACTGCTCAGGAACTTTAGCCTGCTGATGGGAATGCTGCACATTTACGCTATGATGGTGCTGCTGTTGTTGTTGATAGTGCTGTGGGGGTGACAAGTGGTGATATTGAACCTGTTGGAGCTGCTGGGGCGGTTGCTGGCCGTGTTGGTAACCGAAAAGGAACGACGGAAGGTGGTTCATTGGTGACGGGGTGTAGCTCGGTGCATGATGATACGGCCGTTGGGTTTCCACCGGTTGGTAATGCGTTGTCTGTTGGAATGTCGTTTGGGGGATGTCTCGGGTTGTTTGCAGGGCAGGAGGGGGCGTGTAGGAGGTCTGTGGAGAGGTCACGGTTGTCTGCAAAGTGGGCTGCGCAGCTTCTACATGCCGGTGGGGCTCATCGTACTTCGGTGGCGGAATAGGCACGGCTGGTGGAATGGGATACTCATCATTACCTTGAGCAGGTGTGGATCGAGGGGTTTCGAATTGCTGAGAATGATGCTTTTTTGAAAGCTTCGATTGCTTCTGGCTCTTTGTTGTCTTGGGGAACTTCTGTGGTTTTACTGGCATCTCCTTAAAAGGTAGTTCTGCAGCCCCCGACTGATAAGGGTCGATGGCAGCATGTTGTCGATGATAATGCTGGTATTGGTTTTGTTGATGCTGTTGCTGAACGCCGGGAGTCGGTGCAGTTAGCGGTAGAGGCACAGGAACCGGTTCAGGCGGTTTTATTTCGTCCTTCTTACCGAAGGAAAAGTACGAGAGGAAGGATGACTTCGCAGTCGTTGCCGTGTGCTTAGGAATTGTAGGTGGGGGCAGCGTAGGCGGTAATAGAAGCGGATCAACCGGATGTTGAACGATAGGTCGAGTAATTGGCGCGTGCTTCACGGAGTTGTCAGGTGCACGATGCTGTTTCTTAGCTTTGTGGGGCTTAATTTTCTTGATTGGTACCGGCGGTAAAGGTACAGGCTCCTGATGAGATGATGGAACTGCCGGCAGTGAGAGAATAGGAAGATGTACTTGGGGCTGGTTAGAGTGAACTAACGAATGAGTGGGAGGAGAGGGGGGCTCAGCTGTAGCTACTGGTACTACTTTTGGAGGATTTTGAGCGGGAGTTACCACGGGGCGGGGAATCGGTAGAGCGTTATGCAGCTGCGGCTGGAATTGCACGGGCCGAGGTCGTACTTGCGGCTGGTGGGTCGGGACAGCTTCAGATTGGGGCTGATCAGTGGGATGTTGTATGTTAGGAGGCAGAACTGGCGCCACAGGTTTTAGTGAAGGTGGGGATGGGAGAGGGTACTGAAGTGCGGGCATTATAGGATGGGCTTCCGATTGCTGTTGCGTATCCTGTTGAGAAGCAAGTGCCGGTACGGGCGCTGGGACAGAGAAAGGTTTGATGGCTTCATGACGTGGCGGCGGAGTTTGATATTGCGAGGGTAACTGGGCTGGACTAGGGGATGCTTGCTGGGGTAAGTCAAGCTGTGGTTGATGGTTTAATTCAACGTGTTGTTGTTGTTGTTGTTCCTGTTGGGGTGGTTGATGCTTCTCTTGCTGCGGTTGATAGTTCTGCGCGAACTGCTGATGAGGTCTCACCTGTGAGTGCTTGCGCTCTTGTTCAGGTCTATGGCTGCGTCTGGGCAGAATTGGGCCTGAATGAGGCACCGTTTGTTGCTGTGGAGCTTGGCCCTCCGGCATAGGGCGACGATATCCCGCTGGCCTCTTCCGTTTCCGCCGGGGGGCTTCCTTTGGTGCTTCGGCACTCGGGGAGGCTGTGGTTGTATAGGCGATAGTTGTAGCCTCGGCTAGGGTTGGCGCGGCGGTCGGTAATGTACTTCCAGCTGGAATGAGCAAAAACATTTGAGTGCAAAAGCCAAAGCTTTTCTGTTTACACTCGTTTGGTCAGGAAATCAGTAACTGATTGATAGGTATAACTAAAATAGTACATTTACAAAAATAATACAAAAATAACCCACATTTATGACGAACACGGAACTTTGGCGATTCTGTGCTAGGGCCAAGAGCACTGATTGTGACGCTCTGACCTTGTGTAGCCACCCGAGAAGTACCTTGCTGATCTTCCTTCATCACACCTTTTGGGGCGGACATTTTTGTCACCTGAAATGAAAATAAAACATGAACTATTATTAGGCAAACCCTCAGAATAGTTTTGTTAAAAAAAAACATGTGGTACATTTGTGTGTTGGTTAGAATATACTTGAGCAGAGTTTGAGCAGATTTAATAACTTAGAGTTGGTCGCTGTACACTTCTCAGATTTAACTACGAGAAAATAAAATACAGTTGCGTAAATCAAAGCTGTCTCTGGAACAAACGAACTGTTTCATTATTATTATTATTTCTTATGGCTTGTCATATTTATTTGTTAGTAAAAATTAATTTCTTAAACTCAAGTTTCCATTTTTTTTGCAATACAAATTAAAAAAAATAAGCGTATATTTCTAAACTGAGTACTCTTGGGTAACATCCGAAACTATTGAACCAGCTTTTTGTTATAATATATATTCGCCTGAAATACTAAACAAAGAAATAGATGTAACTACGACTCTTAGAACACAATTTAAAAATGTTATTTTTAAAAAATGCCAAAACTATTTACCTACTGGTCAAAATGTTAGTTGTAATATTTACTCAAAATCATAGAGTGATCCTATTGACAACGATACACATATACAAACGTTTTGTAGAAACGTTAACATTTTCAGAAGCAAACTTCCATATCTTGCTAATTTATCTTTTGGTAGTCTGTCTAATGGAATAAATTGCCACACCGCTACATGTGTTTTATACAGCCAGGGGGTCACCGTATCACGCTAGACTAGGATGCCAGTATCGAAAAACGCAAGCTATAGCTAAACATTGAGAGAAATAACAATTTATAATGGTCACGATAAGTTGGTTTTTTCCATTCGATATTCTATCCTAGTAGTTTTCTCACTGTTGCTATACGTCTGCAATGCAACTTTTCAGAGACCTTGCCGTAAACTATAAAATATAATTTTATATTTGCCCCTTTCAACCGACTACGCAAAGTGGCTTGCTACATGGAGGCAAGTCATACATAAGGCACATTCGTCTGACGTTCATAAGAATGTATTTAATTTTTCCTGTTTACTTTTTTGATGTATACCTTTGAAGGACAGAGGATACGAGAACATCAACCGTTATTTTTGTAGAGAATATTGAAACACATGATCCGCTTCATCTACTAGTTGATCACCTGTTGGACCGTAAGTATTGGCTATATGGGATATTAAGAACCGCAATGCCAACGTCTGCAAACAATTAAAAATCATCCATAATTTTTAACAAGGGATACATCCCCTGAAAAAATTTTTTTCAGCTCTTTTTTCAAAAGACTTTTTAGGGAACTTACCATGTCGCCATCTACCGCTAATTTTGTACGGGAATCGCCATATCATAAAATTTTAATTTATACTAGCGCTGCGAAATCTGCATATTTAGGTAAATGAACGTAACCATATTGGATCATGTTCATTCTTGACGATGCATTACATTTAGCTACATCGTGTCTTTCAGTGAAAAAAAAAAAAAAAAAAAAGATTGTGATTAACGAAATTCTTCTAGATAACGAGATGTACGATGAAGACTGCATATTATAGGTAGAGGTTGACTGCAGCTCGATTCGTATACTTTATGATGGCTAGCTACAAGAAATTGTTGTTATTTAGGCAGTAAAGATTTCAGCAACAAAAGAAGACTCTTAAGAGATCTAGCCGACTGGCTGACAAAGTTGCTATGGACGCTTCTCGCGAAACAGGACGTTTTTTGTGATTTTGATTACGTGAAGGTCGGCATTAGGCAGTGACTCACAAACGGCTCTGTTCCAAAAGTTTTTGTTACTAATCGACTAATATATCAGAATCTATTAGAGACTATTAGGATTCCTAATAGTTAGATGATGAACAATAGGAAACTAGAAGTCGCCTACAACTCTACTAACTGATTTGAAAAGGAACTGGGCATTTTTTTTGATCAGAGATTCGCAATTGATAGTTTTATCACAAACTGAAGTATTGCCTATCGTCAAATCTGGTCCGTATTTAAACCCAGACTATATACGCTTCTCTCAACTGTACGTTTATTGATTCCCGATCCGACGCGTTTTATTGTTATTGCAACTTCAACAATATGTAATGATTTGCAAATTCGATGGTGGATGCCAGAACAGAAGAAATATCGAGAACGATTTGGTCGCTTTCTGTTGTCTTTTTTTTTTCGTGAACATCCAACGCAGTACTTTCCTGTGTCATCCAGAAGGTGGCAGTAGATAATGTAATCGACCATGATACAACAGGTAGAGAGAAATCGGGAAAACCCGGTAAAGGGCAAACATGAATAATTGACTCTGACTTCTCCCAGATGTTTTAGTTACTCTTTTCACAGGGTGCAATATCATCATTTGGACAGTATTAATGTATCTAGCTAGGGGTTTGCTTTTTTTCTTTGCTATAAATACATGCTGCCATTGGAAAACGATCATTTGTTCTCTATCATTTGATTTCTAGAGCAAAAATTAAAAAGAGGATTATACTTTTGATGTACTCATAATTAACCTGTACAATTCTAAATCTTTCTTTAATAGAAATTTGCTCTTTCTTACTGTTCCTCTGGCATTTGACTGAGTTTTTTCCTTTTCAACGACATGATTAATAACCGATTCTCTCGGTACGTGATCTTCCGACGTGGACACTCTGACAGACACCGATGTCGACGTCACGACTTCAACGCCTTCAAGTAGTCCCCCGTCACTTTCTGCAGCGCTCACCGCTAACGCCAGCAAGAGCAAAGCAGTTTCCTGAAATTTAAAATTAACATATGCATTATTATATTTATTATTGTCTTAGACGTACAAATAGGTTTCATCTGTTAGCGTCGTAACTAGCATGTAGCCTGCAGAAACGACGCCGATCCTCCCGTGGGGTGTCTAATAGAGGGTGACCCGCCACCCTCAGGCGCATGCTAGGAGAGTTAGGTACGGACCTACCACTTTTAGCCCCATTGTCCATAATCCGAATTAGATTTTTTCCTTTGGCGTAGTTTCCTTAAATGCCACATGCAAATTACCTGACCCACTAATACGGCCGAATCACTGTCTATCAAATAGCAATTTAATAATTTTGTATTATTTATCGTATATTTGGCCATAGTTATCAAGAAATACGCACCGATCGCAAGGATACTAGCTACATTCAATAGTATTCCCACAATGTAGCAATATCTCACCCAGTAGCTCTTTTGTATTGTGCAGCAGTACTAGGCGCAGCCGAGATACTTCCAAAGAAGACATGACGGACATTCGTTAATTGAATTTCGTTTAGTCACAGATGTTTTTTGAACCTAAGAGCATTTTGCTTTCCGTCGTTATTTCGCTTCTGCCATTACCGCCCCCATACGTTACCCCGTGTTCGTTCGCCGCGTTGGTCTGTCTATATATGCACCTGCTGCCTGTTTACTGAATAACCTGCTTCTGAGAAACGTGTTACTGTTTGAAAAAATTGACGACGCAGTCTATGATATGATAACCTCTTTCATCGACACAGATCGAATGTCCTTTTTAAGTGCCCTGATGCCTGCAGTGGTAAGTGTTTGTCAAGCTGCCTTAAAGGATGTAAAATAAGGTACAATAAAGAGTTGATAATCAAACACAGCCCTGTTATGTAAAAGGTTCATATTTTGGCAATAACGCGAATTTACCGTTTACCTAATTAGAGTACATGTGAACTTTCCATTCTGTATCGGTAGTGACATTCAGCTCCTGTGAAGTTTGAGGAAATTCCCGTTGGACTGAAACTAATTTTAGGTGTTTCCCCAGCTATAACATGATTGACCTTAGGGTGTGGGAACAAACGTTTTGCTCAGCAAATAAGTAACATTTGTTCCTCCAATCTATCTCAGGCCTAACTCCTGTGTAAAACAACTTACACAGTTAAACATAAACTTAAACCTAAATGTCGTAAGTATGTTAATGGATCAATGTTGCACTGGCGCCCTTAATTTCAAATTTCACAGGCACGTAATTGTGTCAACCAGAATTCTCACTTAAAGTTAATTCTTTCTTTGTTGGAACGGACGCAGGCTTCCCGCAAAAACACACTACCGCGTCTCTACGTCTTCTGTGAAACAGATACAAATAAAATGCAATTTTCCCAAACTGTACTGATTTCCTTTTTGGATCTTGGTATAAACATGTTGATTGTGTATCTTCTCGTAAACCCTAGCGAAAATGTTCATTGTGCGACGACAATAATATATTCTATTTTTTTTGTTTTTTTTTTTTGTAAGTCACACAATTTCCAAAGGTCAGCAAGCTCTTAAGCTGTATGGTATAGTAATCAGGAGCGGAAATAACCTTGATTACGGTCACTATTTGTTCATTTTTTAGCTTTCGTATGGCGAAGAGCCTCCTTTTCAATGAGACAGAGTGACTCCTATAGCTGTTCCGAGCAAAAATGATTTATTTCAATGATTCAATTATCGGTCATATTTTCATATCATCGTCACGTTTATCAGCAGCAGCTGCTCTACCAGGTTCGACGGCTGTCAGTCACTTATGCGCGTGCATTTACTATGGTATATATTTGGTTAAGTTACCTGAAACAGAAAGAAAGGAAGATTGTTGAAGCAGGAAGATCGAGACCGCTAAATAGAGGTAGAGCAGTTTTTTTTTAAAGGGGAACGTATGTTAAGTATGGGGTACAGTGCACGGAGTCGATTAAGCTACGATAACGGATTTCGTACAGCGTAAGGCGACGCACTAACTGCGGCTGATCACATCTGCCAACAGCAACAAAATAAAGAACCGAGTCCGATGCCAGTGACGAAGGCAATGAGTTTTGAGACTCTCCTTTTTAGCCGCGGTATTCTGCATTACCATAGCAAACCAACTTATCGATGAGCAATAGCCACTGCTGGGTACAGATATGTTTAGAAGTTGGGTTCACTGACCCATTTCCATCTTGTCTCTTCTTTCGTGCGTTTTTTGCTACTCACAACAAAAATACGTCTTTTCTTTACCGATGCGGCTGCTGGCGGCGTAGTCAGTGCCTATTTGTTCGCTGATTCGTCGTTTTCCTCACCGGGGGCTCCTACCCGGGTTGTTTGGAGACGCGTCTGCAGCCGTAGCCGCAGATCGAGTAACAATACCACTAACAACGATCGCATTCACAGTGACCAGAAATGGTCTTGGTGAACATCCATAGGATGGGTTATATGAAGCTACTGCGGGGGCACTGGGCAGCGAAGTCTCACCAGAAGAACAGTTACGTAAGGGATCTGCGTGCCTTACAGGTAACTAAAAAGTACGACTAAAAGCAGATTCTATTGAACGAACGAACAAACGAAACACTCAATGTACCGCGGGCGAAAACTGAAAGGCCTTTCGTCAGAAACTTATAGTCATATATGTAGATATGTAGCCATTAAGCGGTTATCAACCAAATGCGTTCTGTCTAGTACGACATCGGTATTTCTATTTGGTCTTGTCGCGTTTAACTGCTAGTAATAAGCATAATCGTAAAGAAGTGCCTGCCAGTCTGTAGTTACCATAATTTATACTCTTCAACAAATTCATTCATTCATTAATATTAATTAATAATTTATGATTCAAATATGTCGAGGTTACATTTTTACTAATCTTCCCATACACGTATGTAATATCCAGTTTTAATTAGTCATTCTATAAGCTCTTTTGTACTGGAAAATACTCTTGTCTTTTTCCAGTTATTGGAATTCTAATTAAGAGAAAAAAAAATGGAAGTAGTCTCCAAGCAAGCCTATCCTCAGCTTTCGAAATGCAGCGTCAGTTCAAAATGTTTGTTCTTATTCTCCCTATTTGTTTTTGTTTCTGGCCATCGACACATTATTTCACTAATCGTATTACTTTATTGCCCCTCTTTTTGTGAAATAAATTTACATGTAATAAAAACCTATACACTACAAAAAAAACTATACGCTACAGAACGGAGAAACCATTCAACTGACTTCAGGGACTTTGAAGTTCGTTTAAAATGATAAGGTGCTGGTTTGATTTTTGAGCAAAGTTATCAACCCTTTATTCAAATAAAAAAAATCTAGATGATTTTTTGTTGTTTATAATGCACACCATTATGTAAACATTGTTACACGAAAATAGGGAGAACTAATATGATACAAAAAGTTCACACCATAACTGCAAAGCTTTGATTGTGTTATCTTCCAATCACCCTGTGTAAAGCATGTGACAATCACTGAAACACACTATAGCGATTTTCTGGCTAAGGGTCGCCATTGTTTATACAGACAGACCAGACAAACAAATCCGATTCGGTCTGACCGACGAGCATGGGAACACGAGTCATACGCGGCCAGCTCACCCCTACATACTGCGCTTCGCTGACTGGTTGGCTGACCCGCTGATTAAGTTACTGTTAGGTTAAATTAATGTTGCTTGTTTAAGTAAAGCTATTAGCACTGCTGTAACCGAAAAGCGCAGTATTTTCGACCCCCTCCCGCACAACCTTGACCTTTCCCCTTGCTTCCCCTATTATCTCGTCAGGTAAGATACGCTGATTTGGCGGAGACTGTCTTGATAGCGACTGTGGTAGTGGTCCGTGCACGGACCAACTCAAAAAGCGGGAGAAAGGAAGCGAGAGGGTCTTATCGTTAGTGGATTTTCCCATCGCTTTTAAGCTGCGTGATGCTAGTGAGCGGAATAAGGTAAACGATGAAGCAGGTCGCGATTAACGACAAAGTACTAAAATAATCTTCACCGGGAGGAAAAAGAAATATCCCTATGTCGATTCATTGCGGCCGTCGACTAAAGCTGCTCATGTCGTCAACTGACTGCGGACCACTGACTCAGTGATCCGGCGACGAAAAAAGACGAAAATTTTAATCGGACGAGTGGCCGAAAAACGGCACGTTGGAAAACAAAGAGAGGAAGTACAAATGGGCAAAAAAATTAACGGTAACGACGACGGGTGACATTTGCTTGGGCCTGTTTTTGCCTAAGGCGCTATTTGAGACAAGGGAATATTGCGAAGAGCGAGTGTGCAAGTTTTAGCAGTGGAAAAGCGTTTGATTTTATTTCTCGCACCTTTCTTCTGCTTTGAGAACTTGCAAGCGACGAAAGTAACACAGAAGCTTACCAGCATATAAATGTAAGAAAACTTTCAGTTTGAATAGAGTGCACTAACTGAAAATGCAGACGGCTTGTTTAGATCCAAATTTCGATTTCCGTACGGATAGTCGATCTTCAATTTGAAATGTCTCCGTGATTGTGCAATGGTAACGTATTTGCTTATTTAAGTTGAAAACGCGTGACGGCCAAGGTTTGAAGAGGGGCGTAAACACACTTCGTTACGTGTTAGCAAGAGTCCTCCGCTGAAGCGACGCTTCGCGGCAATGTTAGATTTACTTGTTTTCAAATCGGCTTACTTATTTAGTCATCGTATGCTGAACCATCATCGGTTTATTGAATCCTTTGTCATTTACTATAACAATGAGTGAATTCATCAGAATCTGCTAGACATAAAAAGTTTCGCACCGATGACCAACAAGCACAAATGGCCCGTAGATGCTTCCAATAGATTTAGTGATGAGATGTAGCTAGAGTGAACAACGGAACGACAAAAGGCGGTGCGTAGGGAGAACAAGCTAGCTGGGCTGCCGAAGTTTTCGGGTCAAAGTTCCGCTTGTTTTTTTTTCTTCTTTTATATTTTGTTCGTTTTCCTTTTTTCTCGTAATTGTTGTATATTTTGTTCAAGTGCCCTCACCTTGTAACAATAATAGGGATGTCTACAAGGGACACTTCCATTT